TTCTCAAACCACTAGACCACGCACAATGAAGACGATGAGTTTCAACATGCATTCGATGCAGTTCTCCTCCACTTTCTTGTGGTTACATTTTCGAACCACAATCCTGTATGCTTTTTGATAATTGCTACAATTCTTCACCCGTCATTTTTATCTTCCCAAAAATCGGCTAATTTTTCAAAATTTAATTTCAAAGTTTTTGAAAGGAGTAAGCACGGCTCAAATAAAGCAATCTCAGGCTTCACGGTAATATTTTTAGATTCTCCTAACCTGTGTACTTGGCTCTAAAAAATTACTTCTTCGATTCTCGATTTTTGGCAAGATCATGAAACATGCGACTGCAGCAAAAACATAAAAACTTTTTGAAGTTTTTGCGAATTGAAACTTGTTTGTTATTAAACATTATTTATGCAACCTATCCAAGTTTGATTTGCTTGAAAATATCAGCTTTTGGGATTTTCGGTACTCCTACGTGTTAAACGTAACCAAAAAGCCGCGATTTTTCTCAAATAAATAATTATTTCAGACTTGATTAATGTGAGACATGTAATCTAAAATAGGGACAATGTAGCCAAAGGTTTGCTCTACATAACAGTTACCAGCGCTCTTTAGAAATGTAGGATAAAAATCTTTGAAATTCAAGAAAGGTTTGGCGTTACTGTTAAGCTGCTCAGAAATCCATGGCGATAGCATCGCAAAGACATGGTAGGTCAGAGAGCGAACATAGCTGTAAGAAAGAGAATGAAAATCTGGATCAAATGATATGTAGATCGTTTATGGATTTGTATTCTGTAGTTTAAGTGAGCGATGAAAAAAAACCGACAAAACTTTCGGGACCACCTTATAGGATAGGCCCAAGAATTCCAGAAAAAAAGAAAGCCGCAAATCTGTCGAGTCTTTGTGAGGACCTCTCGGGCCCTCAAACTTCAAATGGTTGACAGCTGATTGAATCTAATAAACTGTATCGGCTGCCTATGTTTTCTTGCATTGACCAATTGTTTTATCAACATTATGCAATTATTAGCTTGTCGTTGGTGACAGAGAAAGAAATTGAAGCTCATGGTTTTGCTTGCAAAATCACTGAAAAATTAATACGGTTAAAGTTCGCTGTTCAAAGTATGTAAATGATATGGTACTATGATTCTTCTTTAACGTCTCCCAATATTTCACAAGACTACGAATACCAGTGCTTTGAGGCCACGGATGATGTAAAGGTTGCGAAATTAGAAGAAAAAAAAACAAAAGAAGAAGGATCACTGACGTTGCGCAATTTGACGTTGATTAGAATTCCATTTTTTGATACTGTGATAGTTCAGAAAATGCTGAAGCTAGATAATCCAATATTTGCGGTATGTCCCATTCAGGATCGGTTTTAAAAGTTGGCTCAATACGCTTCTGCATCGCTAGGGTTTGCATCAAGAAGGACAGTCACTTCGTACATCCGACAGATTCATATCTCATTTTTTCTGCAGTTTACTTCATACTAACTTTCATCACTCATAATTGTAAGATGCCTTAATATGTGCCTGTGAAATGGCGCAAGCTCTTAGTGCTGCAGATGCGGGGACCAGGTACACCTATCCTAGCTGAACCAGGTTCACTAGTGCGTGGCGCTTTTATGATTTAAATTCATACGAAAGAACTGACTGCATACTGTATAATCCATAAAAGCTCTTTCTCAACCATCTGAAAAAATGTCGTGTTTGTTTTTACACTGACTTCCGTGAAACACCAAATTTGAGCACTTACCGTTCCCAACCCAGCGATACCGAAATTAGACGACCTAACACCTTTAAAATCACCGCCTGAAAACTGCGTATGTTCTCGAACCCAAAAGTGAATATGGGAGTAAACTAATGTTTTATTAATTGAATTGTGTCTTCTTTCTTTCGAAATTACCATTACAAACCAACCAAACTAAAAACCCCATTATCGAACCTAAGCATTTCAGCAATTAAAAAATGAGATGTAGCGCGAGAAAAAATGACGTACTAAACAACATGACAACAGCCGTGTGCACCAGACCCGATAGCAAAATAGAAAATATGTTACACAAATCGAACGTACAGAATATTGACCGAAAAAAATGGGAAAAAAATGAGAATCATGAAAAAAAGCTAGACGCTGAAATTTCAGCATCAACGTCTTATCACCGCGGCTGAATCATTGAAAGAGCAGCGATCAGGTGTGAAAGCACAGAAAACAATCACAACACGTAAATTAGGAGAGAATTCGGGAAGTAAAAGAAAAAAAATAGCTACTGGACAAAATTATTATTACTTTCTGATGTTAACTATGAATGGGACAGTAAGAAAAGGGGGGGAGTTCCTAAGTGGAGCCAGTTGGCCGGTTTGTGCTAGACATTCTACGGCCTGCCCGCAACTGAAACTTCATTTTGATTGAGATCACTGCGCAGGAAAGCATTTTAACCCTCAGAACGTGGTCATATATAGCCCAGCTCAGCCTATGACCAAATAATGCTATCCTGTAATCACTTTCCATCGTTCGTGTGAGTTTGAAATCATGATTGCCTAAAAAAGAGTCCGGAAGTGAAGTATAGTGTGTATTTACCATAGGACATGGGGTTTTTGAATAAAATATTTAAGAACATACATCTAAACAGTCTTACCATATGAAAAACACTCGATGAAACGATGCAAGTTTGCCCTTCTATATGTTAGCAAAATCCAAAACTGATTAAATCAAGAATGACTCAGTATCATTCATTACGAGTGATTCATAATTTAGACGAGCCCCCTTATTTTGCAGGTTTCAGAACCTCTTGGAAGAGATGTAAAAACCACCTGAAGCCGCAAACGGCATCCCCGACACAGAACTGGAACTTTATCAATCACGAAAAGAATTTCAACCAAATGAAAATTCCGGCATTCATGAATGCAAACACCTCAGGCCTGATTTTTACACTCAGAAGCAAGCTCTGACAATTAAATAATTTTACTACAGTCTCAAATATCTCATATATTCGCAACACCTATTCCTATCTCGTACCTAAGAAAGAGAAAACCATTCGTAGATCGTTGAGGATCCTTTGATCCCAACCTATTGCAAATGACTCTGTTTTACTTGATTTTCAGCACTGCCTACATACATTCATTGAGCGGTGTCGGGGAGAGGACTATATGTCGGGTGGAGGAACGAGTCCTCAATTAGGCACCGCTCCGCGGACTACTGGTCCCAACACGATGCACAACAGTAGGACGAAAGGACCAGAAGCCCGCGGAGGCGGTTGCCTAACTGATGGTTCGTTCCTCTACCCCTATATGTCGCAATGGGGCGACCTCGCAATCATCTACAACAGATACGCGCCCTTGCACATGCATGAAGGTCGTTTTTGCAAGAAGTCCGCCCGGAACCTCCTACATTTGGCACGACATATAGTCTACCCTAAGTGTCCGGATACTGCGAATTCTTAATTTTCTTTGAAGGCAGTGTCTCCGCAGAATCTCGTTTCAGTTTTTCACCTTTTCGGAGCCTTCTCGCCATGCAATCCATATCATATCAGCTTTTCAGCGCACGAAAATAGCGAAAATGAGCTTTTTCCGAGGCTTTCCAGGTCCGCATTCAGTGGAGAATACGCGCAAGTGGGCGTGGCGCGAAAGGCTATCGGGGTAACATCACTGAACATGGACCAGAAAAACTTCGGGAAAAGCTCATTTTCGCCATTTTTATGCGCTGAAAACCCAGATATGGATTCCTCATGGCGAGAAGGCTCTGAAAAGCTGAAAAACTGGAATACGGAATTCTGCCGAGACACTGCCTTTAACCTTGTCATAGAATTACGCTTTGATGCGTCAACACTCCGCTGCAGGAAGCAATTCCTGCGATAAGGAAAGTACATCGTGTTTATGATGCATTTGTGCTAAGAGGTGTGCCGACTTTGCAGCTGAAAAGCAGAGAAAGGTATCTCTAATCGCGTAGATTGCAGTCATTTGTTCCTGAATGACGTCTGCGTGGTGGGAAAATGCGGAGCACGTATTTCTATAACTATACACCGAATCTATCATCATATACACGATGTGCTTACCTCAGCGCAAACCTTTATAGTCTCCAAAAGCCGATTTTAAGCCTCTGGAGTATGATTTCTATTACGAAACTGCGTCAAACAACAATACATGATATTTTGGACGTGACGATCGGCGCTTCCTAACGCCGGTTACATCTACCGACAACACTGATTTTATATAAAGCCTCGTACTAGTTGGATATTATAACAAAGCTGAAGAACATACATTTTTGCCACGTACTGAGCCCGAAAACACTAGAAATAAAAAATGGTGATCATTTGCTTGGGTCCAGTGTGCAGCAAATATTCAAGGTTTTGAGACCACAGCTCTACAGAGAAAGTCAAATGCCAGAATTTGCGACGATATGCCCTAGAAGAGCAACCCAGTTTACGTATACTTCTGGACGACTATTTACGTTTAGCACAAACTCCTGAGGCTTCGGGCAGAGTTCCGCGATATGATCGTCGCAATTCAATCATTAAAGGCAAGTGTTACGAGTTCACTGCATGCTGATTGCTTGCATTTCGGTTGTGATAGTTGTCGAACACGACTAATCGTGACTAACTATCACAACCGAAATACAAGAAGATCGGCATGCAATGAACTCGTAACACTTGTCTTGTAGTCGAATCGCGACGATCAAATCGCGTGAACTCTGTCCGAGGCCTGGGACTGCGGTCGAATTCCATTTAGTTATATGGAAAGAGAGAAGTGAAGAGGAGAACTCTTCTGCAAAGGTTTTAAAACTTGAGGTAGTGACATAGAGGTAGTACCTTAAAGGTTTTAACCACAACCTTGGCCTCTCGTAACATTCGTTGGCTAGGCTGAACTGAGCTATATATGACCTTCCAATATTCGAAGGGTTAAAGAATCAAGGACGATCAAAAAATGATGACATAAAAAGAAACAAATATCAAAATAACTTGAGCATACTTACGATGTCCGTATTGCACTAGTACAAAAAGGAAACTAACAAACCTCTTCAAATTTGTTGATTGATTGGGCTAGACGAATACTGCATAGGCTAGTACGTGCCGCCGCTGGACGCTGGAAACGTGTGTGAATGAATGTGCGTTGCTTTACGAACGACACACGGTTAGCGCTATCGATGTATGATGAATGAACGTACAGCAATCTAATAACAAAAGATTCCAAAGATGAACGAGTGCATTCGCGGGAGAACACGTTCAAGTGCACTGATACGCAAGGATAGTTCTGAGCTTTGAGAGAGTGAGTACGAAGCAGCCAAGCGATGGCAATTGAGTGTTTACAACGTTCGGAAACGATGTGACGATGCAAGTAGAAGCGAGTAAGTAGATTTGGCGAGTTTACAGCATTGAATGCCAGAGAAACGGAAAATAGACGTTCTGGAAGCTCTCGAGACCAACTGGCCAGCTTTTCCATCCATAAGTCAATTCTAGTGAAATGGAAGGGCAGTAGCTACGTTCTCGCATGAATTTCAATTACTGGATTAGAATAGTAGGCTTTCACCGGTGGGAGTAATGTAAAGGTTTATTAATACGCTTTTCGAGGCGTTTTACTTTTAAATATGGTTTATATCTGCCAAACTGAAACAACATATACGTACATCACTAACTGGATAATGAATAATGAGTACAAATGGGGGGAACCATTTCTGCAAGAAAATTACAGTACCCCACTCTTGTCACCGCCACTGTTTGCGGCAAGAATAATCTCCGAGATGCTGCTAGCGTTCCTGACGGAAAAAACAGCGATCCCGGGGGAAAGACCTGCTTAGAATAGGGTTGTATGAGTTACATATATGCTTTAGCAACCAGCTTTTGAGACCAATATGAAAAAAGTCTAGCGTATGCTCCGCATTGCCCAAAATAGATACAACGATGACAAGGAAAAGAAACCAGGGTCAAATTATGATCAGAAATGGAGGATGACACTGCAAGGAAAGATGCTCTCCTATTCACTGCCAAAAATCTGCGCAAAAAGGCAAGATTTCCGGACATGAATAATTTTAGCCTGCCCACTGCGTGCTACCTCTTCCAGCTTCGCCTACGCCTGAAATTATGGCTGTATCGTCAAAAAATATGTGTAGTGCGCACGCCATAAAACATATCTGATGAGAGAACACAAGCTGCACATGCTTCAGCAAGCTAAACCTCCGCAAACTGGTTTTAGCGCCTTTGTACAATGCTCGTTACTTGTTAGTGCGCATGAGCAGTAGCCGGAATGCGCAAAGAAGCATAAGTAACATGGAGGCTGAGAAGGCGGATACTACCTCCAAGTTCTTTTCCAGAGCTAACAAAAAGACAAAGCTTCTGATATAGTCTAACAGATTTCCCGCTTGACATAGTTCCAGTGGTGCGCCGAGACTAGGCGACAAAATGTGCGACGAACAAATATAGTCGTCCTCCCCCCACTAGACACCCAGTGGATGGATTCGAATTTGAACTAGAGCACGCCGATTGCGGCAGAGCGCGGCATTGACAACTCCAGTTCAACCTCATCCAATATTCTTTGGTGTTTCTTCGTCGTTGCATGGTGATTTTTTGTTTCAATGATGTTTGTAATCAAAATCGACGAAATTGTTGCTGCTTAGCGATGGTTCGTGCTACTATGCTCGCTTCTTCGGTATTTATTTCAGCTAAATTTGAAATCAGAATTCAAATAACGAGCATAGTAGCAGGAAACATCACTCAAGACTAACAAAGTCTACAATCCAGTTAAGAAGACTGCTAACACTCAAAAAATAGGATGAAACGTTCCGAAAACACAAAAACGTCTGTTTGAGATCAAAGTGAGGGCTGCAGGTACCGCGCTCTGCCGCATACGGCGTGCTCTACTTCAAATTCGAATTCGTCCACTAGGTGTCTAGTGGGGGGAGGACGACTATAGCCATTCCTGAAAAGCCGACATTTTGCGTGCATATCCACCGGCAAAAGGGCGTAGCAAACTGTTCACGCGCAAATTTTGTCGCCCAATCCCGGCACCGCAAGCACGCTACTTGCGGTCAGAATCACTGGCCTATAAGTACTGCTGCAGTTCCACTTTGCACTGACAGAAACGAAAAACGAAAATGGTATGCATGATCGTGTACGTTTTCTAGAGTTTGGCGGCCTCATACATCATCACAATTTTGCTATCCATCAAACCCGTCGACATAGCACTCGGGGCAACATGCAGAAGTACGTCTGTTGGTATCCAAAAAATGTTGCGACGAATATGATGGGCATTATGTTGTCAGAACCTCGAAGATCTGTCCTCCGAAGAACTGACCAAGTGAACGCATCAAGACGGGAATGACTGCGCGCACATCCTGTCAGAAAAATGATAATCGCCAGTTGCACCAACGTGGTCAAGCGGTACAGACTAGCCGATTTTCCGCTCAATGGAACTTTGCGGTTCTGAGGTTGGGCGACTAAGTTTGCGCGTGAACAAGTAGCTACGCCTGCAACGCCGGTCACTTGCGCGCGCAAAATATCGGCATCAATGACATGGCTATTATTCGCTCACGGGCGTATATGGTTGCCCAATCTCGCGAGCGCAAACATATATTTAGCAGAAAATCTATTACGCTTAACTCAGAGGCATCAAAGCCATTGTTCCTCCCTATATCAGGCATCCTTTGAAAGAGACAAAACAAGCATTATTTACACACTGAGTAGTCAAAGGCAGAATGAAGTAAATGTCAGAGCAGCAAAAAATGAGTTCAAGGGCGAATTCCAGTGGTAAAGGCATGGTGTTTTTTTTTACATATTCAGCATACGTTTTACAAAGAGAAACGCAGGAAGACGCTACCCATAACCCTCTTGAGATTTTCGAAAATAGCCTCAGCTGATTTGCTAGCTCCATAACAAAAGAAAACGCACACTTCTCCAGAGGATGCATCAACGATCATCGCATCTGTTGTTTACCGAGTTCAATCAGAGCAAATTCACAAAGGGAAACACCCAAACAGCTGAGAAACAACCAAAATGCATAAAGACAGACTCATAGAGAACATTCGCAAAGCTGATGCTCCAAGACCAATGGAATTATGAGTCCGCAATAAGAAATTTTGCGTTCACAAGGAAAAGCAAGGAGATAGGATAGCTTGCAACTGAACAAGAAATAAACAGAGTAGTACTCTGACTTGGAAATACGAAAATGCAATACCAAATGGCAGATTCAAGGTCAGCTTCGTAAGGATGATTTCAACACGTGCCGATAATTCATAGAACGACACGATGTTGCAAGTAATTCTTCACAGAGCTCGACCTAATTACGCAAATGCACTGTGAACTGACACTTCGTTTTTAAACCTTCGGTAGCGCCTCGATGTCGGCGAAACCGGAAAATTTGGCAGAATAGGAGTACATAAGCTTAACAACGATGCAGTAATGTAAATAAGAAAATCTGAGGGAAATCCCAGTCACGCAGCGCGAGAAAACACCTAAAAACACGGACGGAATGTGAAGACTTTGTGGATTCAGCTGCGTCAAGCCTATTGAAGGACGCAGCTAATTAGATTTCACATATGGAGCGCGCTATTCGGAGGCTGATAAAAAGCTGAATGGCAAAACAATAAGCGAGTCAAGTCCGTAAACATGCTATTGAACGTGATCCACTTCAATCAAAAAAGCGAAAGACAACACAATATTGACGCTGCTGGCGCCAAGACAAAGGACATTAATCGTCGCCGCGCCTCATCGGCGTCATCAAAGTGACTTATGTAGCGCGTACAGTCTCGTAGATTTTCCGCTCAATTTAGTCTGCCTGAGGTGCCGAGACTGGGAGACCAAATTCGAGCGTGAACAAATAGCCGCGCGTAATGCTGGATACCTGCGCGCGCAAAATACCGGCATTATTATAGCCTGGCTATTCGTTCCTGCGCAAATCTGATCGCCCAATTCCGGCCCGCATACACACACTACGTTACGAGGGGGACCTATTGGGCGTACGTGGTGTAGCCAACAACCTCATTATGGCCTGGTGAACTTGACGACTAGTACTTAATTGACGACATCATTTGCGCGTAAAACCCACAATGTGCGTCCTACGGCCATTTTTTTACGCGCAAGTGTTGTCGTCATCGTAGGAATGCCTATCGAACCGCCATATCTCTTATGCCTGTACACAGACTATGATTCTACGGAATAAAATATAGATAGTGTATGACAGTTAATGGGAGGACTAAACATTACCATGGGAGAGCTAACACAGGTCTACCCCAGGGATGTATGACGTGCACTATGCCCGTGGTCATATGTATATGTGGGCGGCAGCATCCATTTGTCATTTTGTCTTCGACGGAGGGTAACGACTTGTTGAACATAGGCACATCTGCCGCGGTGCTTTGCTTTTTGCTCGGCGCATCATGCACATTTCAAATGTTTGCACTTTCACAGAACTCCCGAGATATGTGCCTCTCCGATATTTCCACTGCTTCTGTGATATTTTCGCCCACAGAGTTTACAGTGCGACTAGAAAACACACAGGGAATTCCTCTCAACGTTTCAAAAAAAAAGATCCCTCGCGAAGATTTCAAGAATTATGCAAATGCCCTACACTATCTCATCAAAAACAGGGGAAAAAAGGAAATGAGAGAAATCCAAAGCGCACATCAGAAAATTTCATCGGTGACCCATTATCCAGCATCTCGCAGGCAGTTCCCCGTTCAAGGCTCTTGCATCTCATACCAAGTAACGACTGTTTTTTGATAATACTACTTTGCAGATTTTGACTTTAGTCTTTAAGAATTTCATGTATCCTAATCCAAAAATGAGGTGTGCACACCAACTGCGTGCACATCCTGAAAGAAAGACGATGCAACATCCGATGTGATTGCAGCCTTTCACGTTTTTTCACTTGACCAGATTTCGATCTCAAAACCGCGATATTTGGTAACCGCCACAACCAGAAAAATTTTCGTAAGATCTGTGATTTGTGCTTTAACATATAGGATTGTACACGTCGTCTCTCGCAACATTTCAGCCGCGCCGCGCGTGGTCCGCAGCGTTAGAGCAGTAAATGCGGTCAACGAATTGACGATACAATTAGGGCCGTGTCAGACCTAACCGGTTCAACCGCTTCGTCCGGTTTACTCATTCGCTGTTGGTTAGATCAACGAATTGACCAATAGCGAATGGGTTGAACCGGACGGCTAAATTGGATAAGTCTGGCACCTGCCTGAAACAGCACCTCAAAAACGTTATTGCAGATGGGGGTGCCTCAAAAGCGAAGAAAAGTTGAGAGTTGAGAGCGCCGTTCCCGGAGTGGTAAGCATCTCATCCTTACCAGGATGGAGATGCGCACCAGTCCAGGAACGGCGCTATCAGTGTGCACCTGCACACATTTGAGCACTAGTGCAATAAGCTTACAACAAGCTCAGATATGCCAATAACAATAATTTGCTCCTCAACTAGTAAAGCGCCCGATGCGACGGCTGTCGGTTTCTTTTGCGAAGCGGTTGCGAACCGGCGTTTGAGCATTTTCCATCATTTATGCTCGTACATGCGCGCACGCCTCGCCTTCGTCTGGGACTAGCCTGGTGCTGTCTCATCTAACCGTCTATTATCACTTGTGTGTAAAATCTCATGTATCCTGGTCCGGAAACGTTTTTGAGGTATTTTTCAGAAAATTTTTAAGCATCGCTCCCGCAATACGGTAATCAAGGCGTGTGAAGAATGTGCACTTGGTAGAGATAACACCAGAGGCACGTTTGATAACAAAACGCAACAACCACAACACGTGGCTGTTTGACGGGGTGACCCACGTGGCCAATTGACGCCAGCTAGCGGCATTTGATGTGGAAATGATTTCAACATATCTTCTGCTGTACTAAAGTCAGTTCAGTCAACTATGTGGGCAGAACAATGTGAAAGGCAAAGATATGCATTTCCAGCCTTTTTCTAGTTTCGGGAAGTCATTCAGACGGAAATGGCTCGAAAAAAGAGAGAATTGCTGAGCAACCATATGAATTACAGATGTTGAATGTGTGAATAACAGAGTTCGAAAGAAACTCTTACAATAGACGCCTGCAAACTGAGACTCAAAAAATTGTCTATAAGTAACCATGCAAGCGTGAACATTTGAACTCAACGAGCTTTTCCGTGAGATTACGAAGACAAGGACATACTCTGTAAGTGCGATTAAAACGTAATCAACGTAGCCAATCGGACTCTATCTATTGTAGCATATAGTACACAGTATTGAGGGTCGAGGAGATCGTACGGAACCTTCATTTTGAACGAGTTTTCATCCTTCATGTATTTATATCCTACATCCTTTGACACATCCTTTGTGTTCTCCATTCAGTTTCTGTGCGCGTCAATCTTATTCAATAGCTCTCATACTGTTAAAATATAATATACTTATTTCCAGGACTTCAAAGGACTATATTCTAAGAGTGAAGGTTATTGCAGTGCTATATTTCCTATATTGTGTCCTTTTATATCCTTTCCAGTAAAGGCTTTTGTGGTGATTTTCATTCTGCTTTCCTTCCCGATGAAAGCGTCATTTATCACCTATTTTGAGTAGGGGATGAGCCCGTAGATGAATCGCTAAAGGCTTGTGACGCATAGCCCATTACTCAAGACTGCCCCCTGGAAATTTAGATAGAATAGTACAATGACAAACCATTTCAGTGAGGGTAAATCTGCACGCAACTGGTACGTTTGAGAGAAGAAAGAAATAGATAATAAGAAAAAAAGAAAACATATGCATTCGTATACGTGCTTTACAATTACATCGAGAAGTATCGATAGGTTGTGTATAGCACAGATATATCATACACTCCCACTTTCGTGCCGCCCTCGTGGTCATGTCATAGATGTGGTTCGGATAGGCTACTAACCTCTCTAAACTCTGGTTCCAGGCGAAGGCGGATGCTCATGTGAGGGAAGCGCATGCGAGCTTGACGCGCTGGCGATTCTCATGCCGCAATATTACCGTAAAAAACCCTTGATTTCAAATTTTGCAGGCTAAACAGTCTCCCTTAGGTATCCGTAGGCGTAGACGCCTCAATAGATGAAATTTCATTTTGCATAAGATCATTCTAGCGACAATGTTCGCAAAAATGAAAATTTGAAAATCAAAAAAAAAGAAAGAAAAAGGAATAATATATGGCGGGTCAACTGTTGAAGAGATGGCGAAGTGACTGCTGAATTCAGAAAAATAGCTGTGCCTGCTCTTCGGCCACCACGTCGCCCTATTGATTCGCAGCCATGGTGAAAGCGAGCCTAATGCCAAAAGCTGTTTTTTTTTCGATTCGAAACGTTTCGTGTTGCTCCGAATATGCCCTAATAGCGT